AGTTGATACTGATATAGGGTGATAAACATGGATCTAGTTTCAATTTTCTGCAGGCAGTTATCCACTTTTCCTAGCAACATTTGCTGAAGGTGCTGTCTCTTCTCCATCATGTTTTTGATGCCTTTGTCAAAAATTAGGTGGGCATAGCTGTATGAATTTATATCCAAGACTTCTAGAAATGCCCACTTTTGGCACTTCAATTCAACACAATTTTTGCAGTCCTAGCCCAAGATATTGTGAATGAGAAGAAAAAAAGCATAAAAATAGAAAATAAAGATGTCAAGCTATACCTGTCTACAGATGACATGACACAGAAAATCCTAAAGATTTTATGAAAAAAGTTAGAAATAATAAATGAATATAGCAAAGTTGTAGGACACAAAATTAACATACTAAAACCAATAGAACTTTACTCAAAATTAATGAACTAATAAATGAAATAAATACCACAACCTCATTTATAATAGCTGCACACTATACTTAGGAATGCATTTTACCTAAATGATGAAAAGCATGTTAAACTGGAGCAAAAGGAACAAAAGTTGAGTATTTATCTACCTGATTTCAAAGTGTTTTTCAAAGTAATAGTTATCAAAACAATATGGTACTCACTTAAAAATCAACACATTGACCAATGGAACAAAACACAGGGCCCAGAAGGAAAAATGTGCATATGTGATCAATTTTGTTGAGAAAGCTGCCAAGAGGATAGGACAATATCTTTAATAAATGGTGTTGAGAAAATTAAATACCCTTATGAAGAAGATTGAGATGAGCCATTTGCCTCACATCCAATAAAAATAAAGCAAAATGGTTTAAAGTTCTAAAATTAACACTTAAAACAGAGAAACATTAGAAAAAAATTAAAGGGATATCTACATAGCATTAGGCAATGTTTTTTTGGGGTTGTACAGAATTGATCCCAAAGTGCAGCAAAAGAAAGCAAAATTTAGACAAATGGAATTATATAAAACTAAGACCTAGACTTTGTGTGTTCTACACAACAAAGTAAATGACACAGTGAAGAGACAACCTGAGAGTGGGAGGAAAAATATTATAAACTATATAACTAATAAGAGCTTAATAGATTAATGTCAATAATACATAGAGAAATGAAATAAATTTATAAGAAACAATAATTATCATTTTATCAAATGATCAATAATGTAAATAATGAATGATGATTTTTCTAAAGAAAATACACAAGCAGACAACATATAAATGTAAATTACTCAATACCACTAATTCCTAAAGATATGCAAATGAAAGCCACAATGATATATGATCTCATACCTATCAGAATGGCTGTTGTAAAAAAAGATGGAAGATAAGCATTGGTTAGGATACAGAGAAAAGGAAACCACTGCCCAGTGTTGGTGGGAATGCATAATCATACAGTCACTAGAGGAACTTGATGGAAGTTACACAAAATCCTAAGAGTAGACATGCCACGTGATTCAACCATAACACTTTTGCACATTTACCCAGATGATTTGAAGTCAATTTGATAAAGACATGCTTACATTCACATGTTCACTGCAGCATTATTCACAATAGCCAACACTAAGTTTCTATCCAGAAATAAATGGATAATAAAATATGGCATATATTCAGGAAGGAATACTATTCAGTATCACAATAGAAATTCTTTCATTTTCAACAACATGGGTTGAATTGGAGAACATAGTACTAATTGAAACATACCAGACACAGAAAGAACTACCAGATATTCTTACTCATATGTAGAATCTAAAACAGCTTAACTCCCAAAGCAGAAAGTGGAATGGTGAACTCAAGAAACCAGAACATGGGAGAATAAAAGATTATCTCAAAAGGGTACAAAGTTTCATACAGAAAGTAAGAAGAGTTTTAGGTTTATTGTACAGAATTATAAATATTGGTAAAATCAGTGTATGGAACATTTCAAAAAAGTTGAGAGAAATTTCAAATGTTATTATGATAAAAACATATTTGGGGTGATGTACATGTTAACTCAATATAACTATTTCATATTGCATTCAGAAATCATTATGTTATCTTTTACTCTATAAATTATATAATTGTATGATTAAAATTTTAAAACATTACACTAAACTAATGAACTTTCTGTGGTTCTCCATTGTCTACTGAATAACTGTAGGTAGGTAATAGACATATTAGTCTTCAAGGTGTGATTCAATCTTGGTTAAAAATGAAAAGTTCACTTGCCTAGCATGCTCAAGGGCCTGAGGTGAATCTCCAGTACTGAAATAAAAAAGAAGTAATCAAGTCAGAGTTTTATTGATGAGAATAAACATATAATGCATACTGATATTTCTGTCAATAGCAGATCACGTATCTGATGGTTTATACCAAATCTCCTAACTTTAGACAATAAAGCTTTGCATGGAACTTGTAAATTATTAAGAGCCAATAAAACTTAACTCTGCTTCACTTTTAGAACATGAGTAATTTTGGAAAACCCAAAAGAGTATCTTCCTATCCATGACTTATATGACCATGCCTTTCATTTAATCTCAGTTTACTATAGTTTGATCTTGACTATTGTCCCAAAGTGTTGAAGGCTTGGACCCTGGATATTGTTCAGTACTGAGCCATTATTAGGTAGGGCTACAGGGAAGGAAGGAAGTTAGGTCCTTGCAGCCTGGACTCTTGAATGGGTTTTTTCTTTTTTCTCTTTTGCTTCCCAGCCATTATAAGGTGAACAGTGTTTTTCAGCCACCTCAACTTGATAAGCCCCTTACCATATTCTTAAAAGTGTGGGATAATTTACCTTGGCCTTAAACCTTCAATCCTATGACCCAAAATAAAACTTACCTAATTATAACTTGATTATCTCAGTCATTTTTTTCACAGTAATGGAAAGCTGACTGGTTCACATGGAAGTAGTCTCTGAGCGGAGGACCTCAAACTCTACGGTTGGTTTATAGGTATCCAAGGTTTTGGGGCATGTCAGAAGGGATTCACCCCATCCCTGGGTCACTACAGGAAAGATGCTCCCCTCGTGGTAGATACACATGGAGGTAGCCTCTTAGGGGATGCCCTAAAGCCTTTGTAGTATGTCATATGCCATCTTCCTCTCTCTTCAAAACATAAAAAATAAGTCCTCCATACAGGGATTCCACCTGGGCTGTATTTTTCACCATGGGAAGGAATTTGACCACCCAAGTCCACTGCTTGATCCTAAAATACCCCACAAGACGGCATGTCATAGAGTACCAATGGTTAAAAACACTATCCAACAATTAGACCTACTCTGCAGAAGGTTGAGGAAATTGTTAGAGATCCCATATGCCCATGAATTTGCGACTTTATGCATCAATCCAGAGACAGATCATAAAACCCACAAGAAAGTTTCTACTCCAGCCATTCTCTCAGATCTGACCCCTTTCAACTTCTAATATGAAAATTCCCTACTCTGAACAGAGACAAACTAGTTCCCTCATCTAAGAGGGAGAAAAATTCCCTACCTAACTCTTCCTGTTAAACCTAAGGCTCATGTCTACATTGAAGAATGATTGAACTGCTTACTCTCCCTCTTCCCATGCAGGACAGCATAAGATTACCTTTTTAGTTTAAGATAGAGTCTTAACCTAATTCTCTATGTCTATAGCAAAACAGCTTTCCTAAGAATATCATTCAGGTCTTAGTGTCATTCGCAAAAGTAGGCTGAGAACTCTGTTGATTCTGCATTTTATGACTTTGACTACTTGTGTTTTCTGTAGATTTTTGGTCAGGTGCTCACTATTTAGGAAACTAAGTTTTAACAAAGTCATAATTCACTTAAGTATTTATTATGTTAGCCTTTTAAATGTCTACCTTGTTTTAGGTAATTTTAATATATTTAACATTTTAGATCTGTGACTAGAAATGTGTGGGCTATGTGTCCAAATGTTATCTAAAATGTTACACATTTACAGAATTAAAGGCACATAGACCTAACGCCACGTACAGTGACTAGAAAGTACTGTCTTTAATACAATGTACCTTTTATCTGGGTCTTACAAAAATGAGACATTTGTCATTCCTGCTGTTTATAATCAGTACAGTTCAGGTAGAAAAAGAAAAGAACTGGCATTTGTCAGTCCTGTTGTTTAAAACCTGAGCTGAATCTATTTTTTATTTTGTTAATGGTACTAGCTCTTTGCAGGCTTGTTTCCATGTGCTCCCAAATGGGATTTGACTAGCCATGCCCAAACATTGCACTCTAAGAAAGGCCTCTCTGATAATTAAAGTGATCAGACATTGCTTATCTAGAGCATATATCTGCACACAGTTACGTTCTTTACACTAAAAATTTGAATGCATCCTAGAAAGATAGCAAGAGAGCTTGACAGTGCTGGTATAATGCAATCAATCATAATTATTCTTAAAGACTGTATGAAATAAAAATATATGCTTTTTTCAATTACTAAACTGTTTTTCAAAATACTAACCATGACTAGTCTTTTTGTCATCTACAAGTATTCTCCGAAATATTTATATTCAGTCTTATAGAGAATAACTTGCAAGTAATTGTTTATCCAATGAGTTGGTTTTCTTAAAATATTTGTTCTTATTGTTTTTTAAAAAATTTTCCTTATAAAACTTTATAACTGCTGTCTGTTAGCATTTTGCATAAGTATAACATAACAGTAACAACCTGAGGAATGTTTTGAGACCATGTCTATAAGACAGAATTATACTTAAGCATGGACTTCAGGGAACTCCACTCTGACACTCTTTCTAAACTTCTTAGTTGATTAAATTCAGTAAAAGTTTTCTTGGCATTTTTCACTTGTATATGTTGGTTATTACAGCTTGTTCCCTTCTCCTGTCTTAGTTTATCCCTGGCAAGGATACTTACAAAGCCAGATTGGCTGACATCCTGTTTCCCTGAAGATTGAGCAGAAATTCTAACAGGTATTTAAAACTATAATAACTGAGGACCTGGAACCTCCTATATACTTCCGTTTCCAGCCTAGCCTCTTTCTTTTGGTGTGGATAGCCCTCCCGTAATCATGGTTAACGTTCCTAAAACCCGCCCGACTTTCTGTAAAAAGTGCGGCAAGCACCAGCCTCGCAAAGTGACCCAGTACAAGAAGGGCAAGGATTCTCTGTGTGCCCAGGGAAAGCGGCGTTATGACAGGAAGCAGAGAGGCTATGGTGGGCAGACCAAGCCCGTTTTCTGGAGAAAAGCTAAAACTACAAAGAAAATAGTGCTGAGGCTTGAGTGTGTTGAGCCCAACTGCAGATCTAAGAGGATGCTGGCTATTAAGAGATGCAAGCATTTTGAACTGGGAGGGGACAAGAAGAGAAAGGGACAAGTGATCCAGTTCTAAGCTCCATTTTTTGCTTTTTTATGAAGAAAATAAAATCATGAGGTCAATTTCAAAAAAAAAAATAAAACTATAATAACTGAAAATAGTAACATGTGAACCTGCAAATGCTCTTGCCTCTATTTTGTATGTGTCTCCTTTATTTGAGACATTTTCTTCTCAGGTCATCTTAGATTCCTAGAGGAATGGGACTGAGAGACAAAGTACTAGTGATAAGAGACAAGACACTCCCAAGTCCAATCCTGACCAAAAGGGCCAACCAGACCTTACCTTAGGCCAAGAACATTTAATTATACATACAAAACCCCCACCTTACTCCTAATCCAGCTATTTGTCTTATTCGGGCTTCTAATTTTTAACATATTTGTTAAATTTCTCACTTCCAGTTTATAGAGTATGCTTGTCATCAGACAGCACCAACAACATCCCACCAGTACCTCTTTGTTATGGATATCATGGCCACTTCATTTCATGACAGCTGGTCTAACAATAGAAAGGCCATTTCTCAGCAGCCATCTCTGCCTGAGGCTAACCAAATTCCCCATGTCCTGACAGAGAGCAAGACTCTGGACCCTGAGAACCTGTGCCTTACCCCTGCCAACATCAAGTACCTATTGATTTTGTTGCCTGAACCCCTGAAATAATTCAGGGTGCTAAGCCACTGGAGGAAATATTAAGATAGTGAGAAATGAGGAAAATTCAAGGATAATTCCCTTTGAGAGGACAGAACCATACTAATGACCCAATCTGTATAAAAATTGACATAACAGGCCATGCCTGAACCAGTGACCAATACCCAGTATCAATGTCAAGATAATGTTTCCTTATATCCTCCCTATAGAGCCCCTCTCCATATCAAGGTTAACCTGAAAGGACAAAGAGAATGAAATGCATGCACCTATGACTGCCTCACCTCTTTGAGGTCTATTGTCCCAGTTCAGGCAGTTTCCTTTACATAAACTGGCTCATGCCTCTAGTTGTACTTATGCTAATAAATCACTGTTTACTATTTCTCTGTTTGTCACAGTTCATTTACTGCACTAGGAGCAGTATCCTGATCTTGGATGCTGTATCCAAGGACCAAAGAGCAACTATCATATCCTAAAACACTGATGACAATACCTCTCAAAACTCCAATGACGTTCTCTGCAAAACTAGAAAAACAAAACCCATTCTACAATGTATCTGGAATCTCAAAGTTCTAAAAAGACAAAACAATCTTAAAAATGGACAAACCTGGAGGACTTACACTTACTGATTTTTAAATTTTCTACAAGCTACAGTAATGCCAAGAGTGTGAAACTGGCCTAAAGACTGGAATATACACCCGTAGAATTAAACAGAGACCCAGAAATAGATACATTCTTCTATAGTCAAATGGAATTTTACGCAGTACCAAAATGACTCCTTGAGGAAAGAAGACTCTTCAACAGTGGTGGGAAATTGGCTATCTAAGTGCAACAGAGTATTTTTGTTCTTTTCATGCAACATATACAAAGATGTATTTTCTAGTATAAATTAATTGTACAAAAAGTTTCATTGTGATATTTCCATTTATATGTATAATGAACATTGATCAAATTTAATGTTAATCTTTCTTAAGCCTCATCTCCCCCCTCCCGTATTTTATTTTAGTGGGTTTTATTGTGCTGTTTTCACATACATATAATATACTTCGATCATATTCAGCACCATCAGCCTTGCCCTCTCCTTTCTCCCTTTCCCCTTCCCTCCACTTATTCTGTCCAAAGCAGAACTTGGTTTATCTTTCTCAGAATGATCTCAGAAAGTCGTTGCCTGTGCCCATGTCTTCAAGGATTTTTTTCTGTGATTTCCTGTAGCAGTTTCAGTTTTCTCCATGTCAATTCATAATCCTAGCATGTGGTATGCATCTGAGGTTTCAGCTAGGCAGGAGGCCTTAGATGGGAGGATCACAGTCTGAAACTGGACCCGACAAAAATGTAAGACCTCCTCTAAAAAATAACTAACAAAAAATTGGGTTGGGGGCATGGTTCAAGAATTATAACACCTGCCTAGCAAGAACAAGGATGTGAGTTCAAATCCTAGTACTTCCATAATATTAAAACATAATTAAAAGGTAACACATACTGGCAAGTATGCTTAGAAAATGGAACCCACAATTGCTGAAAGGAATATAAAATGGTTCACACACTATGGAAAGTAGTATGGTGTTCCCTAAATTAAAAATGGAATTACCACATGATTCAGTATTTCCACATCTGAGTATATCTTCAAAAGAACTGAAAAGGGATTCCAGGGTATATTTGTACATACAGGTTGATACAGCACTATTTACAATGTAAAACATGGAGGTGACTCAAATGTCCTTTAACAAATGAATACAGAAGCTAGTACAGTATAAATATACAATGGAATAATATGCAACCTTAAAAGGGGGGATAAATTTGGATACGTTACAACATGAATGAGCACTGTTAACCTACAGTCATTATGGATTATTACTGTGGATTACTTTTTAATCTTTACAATGTATTATTAACTATTTTTTAAAGCTCTCTATGGAACAATATAAATTCAAATAAAAGTGCAGTGTCCTTTTTGTTGATCATTCTTCGCAAGGCATCTCTGATTTATTGGCGAGGTATCTCTTTGGATCCTTTCTCTCCCATGCTCCAATTACCTCACTAAAAGACCCCAAAACATTTCAAATTCTTATTTTTCTTTGTTCTTCAGCTCCAACCTAATCCTGGTGGTGCTCACCTATTATCACAGTGCTTAGCCGGATGGACAAGAAGATTGGCAGTACAAGGCCAGCCTGTACCTCTTATGGAGAGTTTGTGTCACAAAAGAAAAGAAAAAATCAGCCCCCAACTGCAACCAATCATCTCCCAACTCCACAGTTCCAAAGATTTCCTCTTTCCAAGGAAAAAGAGCTATTAAATGGTTTTCTTATGCAAAAAATTAATGCAACCAAATCCTTGGAGATGAATACATGTGTCTTCCAGGAACAAAGCATAGTGAAAATCCAAAGTAAATATATAACATCATATTTCATGTTCAGTGAAATATAATGAATAAAAAGAAGCAGACTGAATGTATACTAGAAAAGATGGTAGACATTTTAGTTAAGAAGGCATATGACTTTCCTAAACTGTTCATCTCTGAGCCTCAGAATCCAGTTGGTATAATATATGTTTTTACAACCTAGTATATTCTGATCAATCCTAAAAAGGTAAATACAATATATCTGACAAAAAGCATTTAATGCATAGTATTAAGAGGCAGAAGGTGGGTTGTATTTAATAGTCTATGAAGAAACATCAGTATCATAATGCTGGCTTTGAAAGTCACATATTCCTGTCCAGTAATAATAGACAAGCAAATGCAAAAATGGAATATTTGACACATGACAATTGACAAATAAGAACTCTGTGCCAAATGGCGCACTATCAATCAAGTATTACTTCATTTAATTGTTGGCAGAACCACTCATTATCCTTCAGTACACAGTTTATAATGACAGTTAATTGATTCATTAATATTATTCTTATTTTTTATTGTGCTGAGTAGGAGTACACTGTGGCATTTACAAATGTTCTTACAATATATTTTAAACTTGTAAAGTGGTGAAAGGAAATTGTGAAAATATGAGCAAACATAGAAAACTTATTGTAAAAATGTTGGAAACAAGATAATTTCCAAACTTCACAACAAAAAAAGAAAGAAAGATACTACCACTAAAATATATTCATTAAACTCAGAACCTCCATGTGCTATAATACAGGTACAGAGTTTCTATTCAAAACTTTCTCTTGCTCAAAGTTTTTCTCAGGGCAATTTTAACATCTTTGTTCCTCAGGCTGTAGATTAAGGGGTTCATCATGGGAACCACAACAGTATAAAAAACAGAGGAGATCTTTCCCTCATCAGTAGAATTAGCTGAGGAGGGTTTCAGATACATAAATGCACCTGATCCAAAAAACATAGAAATAGAAATTATGTGAGAACTGCAAGTGCTAAAGACTTTGGACCTGCCCTCAGTGGACCTCATATGAAGGATGCTGGAAACAATGAAACCATATGAGATAAAGATAACAAAACTTGGCAAAATGATGTCTTTTCCCCCTACAATGAAAACCTCCAGTTGAGTGACATGAGTGTTGGTACAGGAGAGCTGAAGTAAGGGGACGGCATCACAGAAATAGTGGTTGATGATGTTACCATCACAGAGAGTCAGTCTCAGGAAAAAGCCAGTGTGGATCATGGCACTAGAAAATGCCATCAAGTATGACCCAAATACAAGGTATAAACAGACTTTCGGGGACATGACTATGTTATACAAAAGTGGATTGCAAACAGCCACATAGCCATCATAGGCCATGGAGGTCAGCACATAGCATTCAGAAATTACAAAGAAACAAAAAAAGTAAAACTGGGTCATACATCCCATGTAGGAGATAACATTCTTCCTTAATATGAAGTTCATGAGCATTTTGGGTGTGATCACAGAGGAATAGCAGAGGTCTATGAAGGACAAGTTCATGAGGAAAAAGTACATGGGGGTGTGAAGGTGTGAATTCAGCACAATAAGAATTATCAGTCCTATATTCCAGAAGGCAGTGACCATATATATCATTAGAAACAGGAAGAACAAGGGTACTTGGAGTTCAGGTTGGTTTGTTAACCCCATGAGAATGAGTTCATTGACCAAGGAGCTGTTTGCAGGATTCATTATTTTGTAAGAAAATCTGTGGTGACAGAAAAAGCATGACATTAGAGGACAACCCAGATCTTCCAAGGATATCTTCTCCCACAAATACGAAATATGTACTGGGAATGACTGAAATTAACAAACATGAATCCAGACAACCTGCCTTAAGTGCTACAATGAAATTGCCTTCTCATTTTTAGAGGTTTAACAACAAAGAACAGTTAGGAGCATCACAAATTCAAGGAGCCAAGACCCATTCTTTTACATGCAAACAGGATAATTAAGAAACAAAAGGAGGAGGAACCAGAGTTACAACCAATTTATTGATTGAATATAATCTTCTTT